CATTTGTACTTGCAGCAGGAGGTATATGAGAAACCCAGGATGGATGGTTGGGAGGCTCCATGTGGGTGCTGGGAACTGAGCGCAGGTCCACTGAGCACCTGGGATGAATGGTTGGGAGGCTCCATGTGGGTGCTGGGAACTGAGCGCAGGTCCACTGGAGAAACACAAGCTTTTGACTCCTGAGCCATCTCTCCATCCCCTTTCATTTTAGTTTTGAAATAGAACCACCTTTTGTTGCCCTGGCTAGCTTGGAACTAGTTATGTAAATCAGGCTGGCCTTGAACTCACAGAGAGGCCTAAGCCCCAAGCTGAGCCAGTGGCAGAATCAATCCCTCAGGTTCCTGGGGCATCTGGGGCATCTCCAAGGCAAAGAGGAAGCAGAGGGCTTCAGTTTTCGACAGGGTCTCCGAGTGGCCACAGGATCCTATGTCCTCCTGGTGACTTGGTGAGGGTAATGGACTTACCTTAGCTGGTGCCACCCAAGAACTGACCCTCGGACGAATGGGTTGGGTCTGTCACAGCAGAGGAGGAGAGTGGCGTTCAGTGGGCAGTAGCATCAAAGTCACTTCTCTGCCAACACGTGTGATGTAACTTATCCTACTCCAGTCTTCTCTGGGTCCTGCTGGACTGTCGTCCAGGGGATGGATTACTCTACAGCAGGGCCACCTGCATCACTTTCCCAGCCTATGACAAGGCTGCTGTTGTGTTTGGGACTGTGAAGGGCTGGTAGGGCCACTCGGGTCTTCCAGACACGAGCATCAGGGTGTTGGGGTGTCTGCTTCTGGTGCCTCTGTCACCTTATCTTCCTGTGAAACTAAAGCACTCCCTGGGAGCTCGGTGGAGGATAGACCATTTGCGGGAGGCCAGAGGGTGAAGGCCTGGCTACATTTCCATGGGTCTCTGTCCCCTAGAATGGTGTCCCCAGGTGGCTTGGTGGGTGGTCACTGCCCTTCGACTGCTGAAGTGAGGTGCTTTGTCCTTTATGGGCAAACTACAGCCACTTATAAACCTGACTTGTCTGTCACTAGGGAAGGGGGTCTTTTCTGGGCCCAGTGTGTTGGGACAGGAGGAGCTGCACCTGGCCTCAGGAGCTAGTTCCCTCACGCCCCCCCCC